GAAATGAAATACGCAGGTATTTTCTAATTTTTTTTAAAGAATATTTTTTCTTTAATCTCGCCAAATTCATTTGTATTCTTTATCTTTTTCTCGCCGTCACCTTTGTCTCTGACTATCCCATACTGTAACAATATAAAATCCACCAAGAATAGTGATATAATGCCTAAACGCAAATTTATTGATGTAATGAATATGCATACACCTGGGTTCCCCCTCACAGTAATATAGTTGGCTGGTGTCAGCCATAAATACAGATTGATGTGGAAGTACAAGACTACGCCTATTGTCTTCGCCTATTGCCTACCACTACGACGAGGACCAGTCTATTACGGTTAACTGCTAGATTGTCCTACCCGGTTACAGTAGTCAACAACCACTTTGCTACTTTGAACAAATATATCCCTTTCCGGGACATATCATTTATTGTGTCTGAATTAGCGATCAAGGTACTTTACAGACATTTTAATCTCAGTGGACTATTTTCTCTTTTAATCAAAATAGCATTCACTATATCAAATTTGTAGTCTGTTTTGTTGCGGTGAAAAACCAAGGCGTTTTGTGTGCTGTTATTTTCTATTGACATTAGTGTGATCTACATAAAAAAAAACCCTAGTAAGGCACTGTTGACCTCGGGGAGATCATTTATGTAGATCAAAAACAACGTAGGACTCAGAATATAGCGTATGAAAGCTCTGGAAGTGAATCCGTTTAAAACGACCGACATTTCACAATTTTTTTTAAGAATGATTGTATTAAAACAAATATTTGTTCCGCGACTCCGTAGCTCTGGAGCTTGCGTAGAAAGCTAGCATGCCAAAACATGTCGAACGCCTTCGAGATATCTAAAGCCATAACCTGAGCCTCGCCGTTCTTATCTAGAGATTGATATGCAAATCCAGTCAAGACAGTTAACACATCAGCAGTAGACCTGGCGAAACGGAAGCCATATTGTTTGTTCAAGAGGAGGTCGTACATAGTAAAACGCTTAACCACTTCAGCATTGATTAGGCCCTCGAATACTTTGCCGAAAAACTGTAAGAGACTATATCTCTTTGCTGAATTTAAATTTGAAATTTTGGTTACATAATTTCTGATCCTTGTAATTAATATTAATTCTTAAAAGTGATTTGTTTATAAAAATATTTGTGTAAAGCAAAAACATTTTTAACATTAGGCCACGAACCTATTGTTACTAGGATAATCCTCTCTCTACCATAAATACTAGGATAATCCTCTCTCTACCATAAATACTCGGATAATCCTCTCTCTACCATAAATACTCGGATAATCCTCTCTTTACCATAAATGCTAGGATAATCCTCTCTCTACTATAAATACTAGGATAATCCCCTCTCTACCATAAATATATATCTGCTACAGTTAACCACTCATGGGTCATATGACTAGAAAGCTTAAGCCTTCAATCTGGAGGACATTGGCTGTGGTTTCACCTGGAGAGGGAATGGCTCCGCCAGGTTTGTTTGTCCAAGACACGTTACGCATGAATGAATATCTCTCCGGCTTTCAAAGTAGATATGTAGAGAGAACAGGTCAGGTGTTCAGCTGTGCAATGACTCTATGAGCACACCCGGAACTGATGACGTTGATGATTCTCAGGTAACTTCAAATCTCTCATAATGTCGTGTAGTTATCCTAAGGTCATGTGTCAAACGTATCAGAATTTGGGTCATGTGACGCTGACGATGCAAAATTTGAATTTTCATCACCTTCCGACATACGAGAATGGTTCTGGTGCACCGAGAACTGGATGTTCTCATTTTTTTTATTGTTATACATCCACTATGTTACAAGAGCCACTCAAGGTAGTGGGTTACTATATTGGGTTGTTTTCGGCAGATAACAGTTGACCCTAGACTTGAAGATGTTATGATTATAAATTTCAGGAGAGCAACCTGACAGTAACGCTTCTTGGCAAGAAGCCGTCCGAATTAAACTTCATTCTTAGTAATGGAATACAAATGGACTGAGGACGTTTCGACTAACACATAACGTGTAGTTCAGATAGCTGACGAAATGTTTCGATACTGAACAATGTGTTTTCTTCCTTGAAGAACTTTTACCAAACTGAAAGAAGCATGCAAAAGTAACAGTTACTGGTATGATTTTGTTCTTTCTCTCCAAGACATTGGTAAAGCAAAAGGTGTACATTTCCTTGTGAAAATTCCTTACACAATAATTATGATGCTGGTGATGATGATGATGATGTGATGCAAAAGTTCCCATCGTCATGGCTTTCGCAGTATTATGGAAATCTTTAAAGCGTTTTTGAAGTTTACACAGCCAATTAATGCTTGTGTATGCGTAATCTTTTAAGCTGCATATGGAAATCTGATTATTTTATTTTCTTTAAAATCATGGCTGAATATGAAATTCATGGTCGAAATTATTTGTCATTGTTGATATTAAATTTGAGAAGAGTTCAACAAAATAAAAGCTGTAGATCACAACGAAGTATGATCAGCAGTTTGCACGCACATGTTCCGAATGGTTTGCTTAGGTTTGACAAAAATAAAAATGTTTGAATTCGGGGCCAAAAAAAAAATGATCGCAACATGGCAATATGTGATAACTGCTTAGTTTGAAGAATTTTGAAGAAGGATTCACAAGAAATATTTGAATTTGTAATAGAATTAGACGAGAGTTAATCTACCGCTTTTTTTGTTTTTGTCTTTCATGGTGGTTTGGAACAGAAAAGACAATTTTCTATGCAAAGATTTGCGATTTTGTGGCATCTTAGAAAAGGCCGAACCGATGCAAATATATATATATATATATATATATATATATATATATATATATATAGCGAAGGTTTGAAAAATTTACATTACAGGCACACACACACACACACACACACACGCACACGCAGGCACACACAGATACAGACACACAAACAGACACACAAACCCAGACACACAGACAGACACGAAGATGCACACATAGACACACACGGACACACACACAGACATACGAGGACACACACAAATACACACACACGGACACAGACACACACTGACACAGACACACACACACACACACACACACAAGC